AAGATTTTTGGTGGATAGCTCTATGTTCCCCATGTGTCAGATAGGGCAGATTTAGTACAGTAGGATAGCAACAGCGAAGACAAGATCATTTGCATATGGGAAGCCGATTGGTCCTATGCAGATTAGTGTAGGCCCAGGAGTTGAGAAGAGCAGAGCTGAACGTTCTAAAGGGGCGTAGTTAAGTTTTTAAAAGGGGCAGTTAGAGTTAGAGAGTTGAAGAAATGACAGTTAGTTAGGAATGGCTGCTTGTGAAGTTAGTTAGGAATGGCTGCTTGTGAAGTGAGTTAGGAATGGCTGCTTGTGAAGTGAGTTAGGAATGGCTGCTTGTGAAGTGAGTTAGGAATGGCTGCTTGTGAAGTGAGTTAGGAATGGCTGCTTGTGAAGTGAGTTAGGAATGGCTGCTTGCGAAGTGAGTTAGGAATGGCTGCTTGCGAAGTGAGTTAGGAATGGCTGCTTGCGAAGTGAGTTAGGAATGGCTGCTTGCGAAGTGAGTTAGGAATGGCTGCTTGCGAAGTGAGTTAGGAATGGCTGCTTGCGAAGTGAGTTAGGAATGGCTGCTTGCGAAGTGAGTTAGGAATGGCTGCTTGCGAAGTGAGTTAGGAATGGCTGCTTGTGAAGTGAGTTGGGAATGGCTGCTTGTGAAGTGAGTTGGGAATGGCTGCTTGTGAAGTGAGTTAGGAATGGCTGCTTGTGAAGTGAGTTAGGAATGGCTGCTTGTGAAGTGAGTTAGGAATGGCTGCTTGTGAAGTGAGTTAGGAATGGCTGCTTGTGAAGTGAGTTAGGAATGGCTGCTTGTGAAGTGAGTTAGGAATGGCTGCTTGTGAAGTGAGTTAGGAATGGCTGCTTGTGAAGTGAGTTAGGAATGGCTGCTTGTGAAGTGAGTTGGGAATGGCTGCTTGTGAAGTGAGTTGGGAATGGCTGCTTGCGAAGTGAGTTGGGAATGGCTGCTTGCGAAGTGAGTTAGGAATGGCTGCTTGCGAAGTGAGTTAGGAATGGCTGCTTGCGAAGTGAGTTAGGAATGGCTGCTTGCGAAGTGAGTTAGGAATGGCTGCTTGTGAAGTGAGTTGGGAATGGCTGCTTGTGAAGTGAGTTGGGAATGGCTGCTTGTGAAGTGAGTTGGGAATGGCTGCTTGTGAAGTGAGTTGGGAATGGCTGCTTGCGAAGTGAGTTGGGAATGGCTGCTTGCGAAGTGAGTTGGGAATGGCTGCTTGCGAAGTGAGTTAGGAATGGCTGCTTGCGAAGTGAGTTAGGAATGGCTGCTTGCGAAGTGAGTTAGGAATGGCTGCTTGTGAAGTGAGTTAGGAATGGCTGCTTGTGAAGTGAGTTGGGAATGGCTGCTTGTGAAGTGAGTTGGGAATGGCTGCTTGTGAAGTGAGTTGGGAATGGCTGCTTGTGAAGTGAGTTGGGAATGGCTGCTTGTGAAGTGAGTTAGGAATGGCTGCTTGTGAAGTGAGTTAGGAATGGCTGCTTGTGAAGTGTGTTAGGAATGGCTGCTTGTGAAGTGAGTTAGGAATGGCTGCTTGTGAAGTGAGTTGGGAATGGCTGCTTGTGAAGTGAGTTAGGAATGGCTGCTTGTGAAGTGAGTTGGGAATGGCTGCTTGTGAAGTGAGTTGGGAATGGCTGCTTGTGAAGTGAGTTGGGAATGGCTGCTTGCGAAGTGAGTTAGGAATGGCTGCTTGCGAAGTGAGTTAGGAATGGCTGCTTGTGAAGTGAGTTAGGAATGGCTGCTTGTGAAGTTAGTTAGGAATGGCTGCTTGTGAGGTGAGTTAGGAATGGCTGCTTGTGAAGTTAGTTAGGAATGGCTGCTTGTGAAGTGAGTTAGGAATGGCTGCTTGTGAAGTGAGTTAGGAATGGCTGCTTGTGAAGTGAGTTAGGAATGGCTGCTTGTGAAGTGAGTTAGGAATGGCTGCTTGTGAAGTGAGTTGGGAATGGCTGCTTGTGAAGTGAGTTAGGAATGGCTGCTTGTGAAGTGAGTTAGGAATGGCTGCTTGTGAAGTGAGTTAGGAATGGCTGCTTGTGAAGTGAGTTAGGAATGGCTGCTTGTGAAGTGAGTTAGGAATGGCTGCTTGTGAAGTGAGTTGGGAATGGCTGCTTGTGAAGTGAGTTAGGAATGGCTGCTTGTGAAGTGAGTTGGGAATGGCTGCTTGTGAAGTGAGTTGGGAATGGCTGCTTGTGAAGTGAGTTGGGAATGGCTGCTTGTGAAGTGAGTTGGGAATGGCTGCTTGCGAAGTGAGTTAGGAATGGCTGCTTGCGAAGTGAGTTAGGAATGGCTGCTTGCGAAGTGAGTTAGGAATGGCTGCTTGCGAAGTGAGTTAGGAATGGCTGCTTGCGAAGTGAGTTGGGAATGGCTGCTTGTGAAGTGAGTTGGGAATGGCTGCTTGTGAAGTGAGTTAGGAATGGCTGCTTGTGAAGTGAGTTGGGAATGGCTGCTTGCGAAGTGAGTTAGGAATGGCTGCTTGTGAAGTGAGTTAGGAATGGCTGCTTGCGAAGTGAGTTAGGAATGGCTGCTTGCGAAGTGAGTTAGGAATGGCTGCTTGCGAAGTGAGTTAGGAATGGCTGCTTGCGAAGTGAGTTAGGAATGGCTGCTTGCGAAGTGAGTTGGGAATGGCTGCTTGTGAAGTGAGTTGGGAATGGCTGCTTGTGAAGTGAGTTAGGAATGGCTGCTTGTGAAGTGAGTTAGGAATGGCTGCTTGTGAAGTGAGTTAGGAATGGCTGCTTGTGAAGTGAGTTAGGAATGGCTGCTTGTGAAGTGAGTTGGGAATGGCTGCTTGTGAAGTGAGTTGGGAATGGCTGCTTGTGAAGTGAGTTGGGAATGGCTGCTTGTGAAGTGAGTTAGGAATGGCTGCTTGTGAAGTGAGTTAGGAATGGCTGCTTGTGAAGTGAGTTAGGAATGGCTGCTTGTGAAGTGAGTTGGGAATGGCTGCTTGTGAAGTGAGTTAGGAATGGCTGCTTGTGAAGTGAGTTGGGAATGGCTGCTTGTGAAGTGAGTTAGGAATGGCTGCTTGTGAAGTGAGTTAGGAATGGCTGCTTGTGAAGTGAGTTAGGAATAGCTGTTTGTGAAGCAGTTAGGAATCTGTGTGTGAAGAGAAGAAGTTAACCCTGTCTGAGAGAGAGACAGTGGGGAATCTCTGTTTGATAGAAGAATTATTGAATGTAGCTCAAGTGTATAGGAGAATAAGTTAAAGCCAGTGTGGCTTAAGTTAAAAATACAATTCTGTCAAGAGTTTAAAAGGAAAAGTAACCAAGTTAATGATATTGAAAGTAAGCCTTAAGAACGTGACAAGATACTAATGTATCCCCAAGTGTTGGAACTTAAAGTTATAAATAAACGTTGTTAACTCGTTGCATACGAGAGCCTCAAGCCTCGTATGCACATTTCAACAGGGTGGAAACAGAGTACATCCTAAGTGTTAAAGTGGTGGCTAACACGTGTCACACGTATTCGTTTATGTCTAAGAGAAGGCAGAACATTCCCACCACACGCACTGTATATAGATACAGGCTTTGTTATTAAACTGGTGGCTTTGTCGACATGTCTTCCTTACAAAATGGTGGCAGCGGTGGGATAGTAATGAAAGGTCTCCCCTGCCACATGATAGGGCCTGTAATTATCCTCCCTCCTTCACACCTCCCCCACATGCTGGCCTTCCTCGCCTCCTCCTCCTCCTCTTCTTCCACTCATCAGCTCCTTCCTCTTCCAACAGAGAAAGGAGGAGGAAGAGGAGGAGACCGCCCTCCTGACATAGCAGGGAAAGAGAAGGGGCTCCATGCGGCAAGCCTCCCCCTCCACTCCACTCTCGCTTGTGTGTGTGGCTGTGTATGCGCACCTGGCTTTAACGGCCAGCTGTTTCCCCATGAGGAGGAGGAGGGGGCATGGCCATGGGTCCCTTTGTAGACATGCAGTTTCTCCTTTGTGGACATGCAGTTCAGAAGTCCTTTCTGCTTTATGTTTTCGTGGGTTTTTTTTAATGGAGAACATACATTGGGTTGTTAAGGGTATCGTGTCCAAATTTGGTGCCAATTGCTCCAGTGGTTTTTGAGTTCTGTGAATACCACAAACGAACATTACATTTTTCATTTATATAGATTGGTAATATTACATGTAATATAAAATATATAATTATATTGACTTAACGCAAGTGCCAATGGCACAAAGCAGAGAGAGAAACCAACCAGCCCCCGGTAACGGTATGCGTATCTCCCCCACCAACCAGTCGGACTCCCTTTTACTCACTGAAGTGTAGGCTCGGCCGCACATGCTGCAGCAGTAGGCCTTGGCGTGCTTGATGGCGTGTGCCGAGAGGTGGATCTGGAGCGAGGCCGAGTCCGTGTACGCCCGGTAACAGTTGGGACATTTGTACGGCTTGTCTTTGTTGTGCTGCCGTTGATGAGACTGGACGGGGAGGAGAGCGAGAAGGTCAAAAGGTGGCCAGAAGCCACCCACGCCCCTTCGCCCAACAGAACCCGCCCTTCCCACCCACTCTGGATGAGCTGAATGCATCCTTGCATTGAGGGTGAGAATCTAGAGAGGAATGGGTTGCTTACCTGTAGTGGTCACCTGTGAAATCCCCACATATGTGTGCATTTCACAGGTACCACGCAGAGGAAGCGGAAATACGATTTCTCCGTAGAACGCCGACTTGCTATCCAACAAGTGATACAATTGGACTACCAGTGGACTACTCATCTCACCGACTCCATATTTTTCAAGTGGGGACCTGATGTCCTTCGCCCAACAGAACCCGCCCTTCCCACCCACTCCTTACATTGAGGGTGAGAATCTAGAGAGGAATGGGTTGCTTACCTGTAGTGGTCACCTGTGAAATCCCCACATATGTGTGCATTTCACAGGGACCACGCAGAGGAAGCGGAAATACGATTTCTCCGTAGAACGCCGACTTGCTATCCAACAAGTGATACAATTGGACTACCAGTGGACTACTCATCTCACCGACTCCATATTTTTCAAGTGGGGACCTGATGTCCTTCGCCCAACAGAACCCGCCCTTCCCACCCACTCCTTACATTGAGGGTGAGAATCTAGAGAGGAATGGGTTGCTTACCTGTAGTGGTCACCTGTGAAATCCCCACATATGTGTGCATTTCACAGGAACCACGCAGAGGAAGCGGAAATACGATTTCTCCGTAGAACGCCGACTTGCTATCCAACAAGTGATACAATTGGACTACCAGTGGACTACTCATCTCACCGACTCCATATTTCTCAAGTGGGGACCTGATGTAGAGGGTCTCCCGATCCCGAAAATCCATATATCCTCTCTTTCTTCCCACTGAGTACCCCCCCACACACACACACGCACACATACACACGCAAACACTCATCAACTCACACACAATTCTCTGCTTACTCACTTGGAGGTTGGAGAGCTGAGTGAAGGCCTTTTCACAGCCGGCATGAGGGCACTTATAGGGTCGGTCCCCGGTGTGGATTCTGGAAGAGAGCAACAGGATGGAGGAAAGTGTCAGGATTAATTGTGTTTTTCAATGTGCTTCTATGTATTGCCAAGATGGATGCCACTGTGAATTGAAAATGCCATGCAGAAATGTTTATACTTTGAGGCTGTGATTAAGTGAACTTGAGAAAGTAAGATAAGGTTTGTTCTAGCTGAGAACAGAAGGGAGTTGCCAGTCTCAGCAAGAGAAGATAAGCAGATGTGAAGAGGCTTTCGGTTTGTTCTTCCTAGAATCATAGACTCAAAGAGTTGGAAGAGACCTCCTGGGCCATCCAGTCCAACCCCATTCTGCCAAGAAGCAGGAATTGCATTCAAATCACCCCTGACAGATGGCCATCCAGCCTCTGTTTAAAAGCTTCCAAAGAAGGAGCCTCCACCACACTCCGGGGCAGAGAGTTCCACTGCTGAACGGCTCTCACAGTCAGGAAGTTCTTCCTCATGTTCAGATGGAATCTCCTCTCTTGTAGTTTGAAGCCATTGTTCCACGTCCTATTCTCCAAGGAAGCAGAAAACAAGCTTGCTCCCTCCTCCCTGTGGCTTCCTCTCACATATTTATACATGGCTATCATATCTCCTCTCAGCCTTCTCTTCTTCAGGCTAAACATGCCCAGCTCCTTAAGCCGCTCCTCATAGGGCTTGTTCTCCAGAGCCTTGATCATTTTAGTTGCCCTCCTCTGGACACTTTCCAGCTTAGAGTCAATATCTTTCCTCAATTGTGGTGCCCAGAATTGGACACAATATTCCAGATGTGGTCTAACCAAAGCAGAATAGAGCATGGGGAGCATGATTTCCCTAGATCTAGACACTAGGCTTCTCTTGATGCAGGCCAAAATCCCATTGGCTTTTTTGCCGCCACATCACATTGTTGGCTCATGTTTAACTTGTTGTCCACGAGGACTCCGAGATCTTTTTCACACGTCCTGCTCTCGAGCCAGGCATCATCGTCCCCCATTCTGTATCTTTGCATTTCGTTTTTCCTGCCAAAGTGGAGTCTCTTGCATTTGTCCCTGTTGAACTTCATTTTGTTAGTTTTGGCCCATCATCTCTCTAATCTGTCAAGATCCCTTTGAATCCTGCTCCTGTCCTCTGGAGTCTTGGCTCTCCCTCCCAATTTGGTGTCGTCTGCAAACTTGATGATCCTGCCTTCTCGCCCTTCATCTAAGTCATTAATAAAGATGTTGAATAAGACCGGGCCCAGGACAGAACCCTGCTGATGGCACTCCACTCGTCACTTCTTTCCAGGATGAAGAGGAAGCCTTGGGGAGAATCACCCTCTGGGTTCGTCCATTTAACCAATTACAGATCCACCTCACCGTAGTTTTGCCTAGCCCACATTGGACTAGTTTCCTTGCCAGAAGGTCATGGGGGACCTTGTCAAAGAAGGCCTTCCTGAAATTGAATTGTAGCTTGCTGTAGAAAGACGTGTCTGTTGTATGTGCTTAGTAAACTTAGTTTCTTTTGCAACTCAAAGCCTGCAGGGTCCTTATTTTGCAACTCAGTGTCTGCTTGATCTAGCATTCCTTCCGTTGGGGATCGCCAATCTCTGACAGAAAGGACAGCAAAAACGGTGACCGATGCTCACTGGGGCTCATTTGTTGGGGGGGGGATTGGGGTTGGGGCAATGTTGGGAATCGGCCTGTGTTTGTGTTTCAGGATCCTGATGTGGGAAATGATGAGGGAAATCCTCTTCATCCTGGAAAGAAGTGACGAGTGGAGTGCCACAGGGTTCCGTCCTGGGCCCAGTCCTGTTCAACATCATTATTAATGACTTAGGTGAAGGGTTAAGACACAAAAGAGACGTGCACAAGAAGTGGAAAAAGGGAGAAATCACCAAAGAAGAATTCAAACAAATAGCCACAAGCAGGGTTCCGTCCTGGGCCCGGTCTTGTTCAACATCTTTATTAATGACTTAGATGAAGGGTTAGAAGGCAGGATCATCAAGTTTGCAGACGACACCAAATTGGGAGGGAGAGCCAATACTCCAGAGGACAGGAGCAGAATTCAAAACGATCTTGACAGATTAGAGAGATGGCCAAAACTAACAAAATGAAGTTCAACAGTGACAAATGCAAGATACTCCACTTTGGCAGAAAAATGAAATGCAAAGATACAGAATGGGGGACAATGCCTGGCTCGAGAGCAGGACGTGTGAAAAAGATCTTGGAGTCCTCGTGGACAACAAGTTAAACATGAGCCAACAATGTGATGTGGCGGCAAAAAAGCCAATGGGATTTTGGCCTGCATCAAGAGAAGCCTAGTGTCTAGATCTAGGGAAATCCTGCTCCCCATGCTCTATTCTGCTTTGGTTAGACCACATCTGGAATATTGTGTCCAATTCTGGGCACCACAATTGAGGAAAGATATTGACTCTAAGCTGGAAAGTGTCCAGAGGAGGGCAACTAAAATGATCAAGGCTCTGGAGAACAAGCCCTATGAGGAGCGGCTTAAGGAGCTGGGCATGTTTAGCCTGAAGAAGAGAAGGCTGAGAGGAGACATGATAGCCATGTATAAATATGTGAGAGGAAGCCACAGGAGGAGGGAGCAAGCTTGTTTTCTGCTTCCTTGGAGACTAGGACGCGGAACAATGGCTTCAAACTACAAGAGAGGAGATTCCATCTGAACATGAGGAAGAACTTCCTGACTGTGAGAGCCGTTCAGCAGTGGAACTCTCTGCCCCGGAGTGTGGTGGAGGCTCCTTCTTTGGAAGCTTTTAAACAGAGGCTGGATGGCTATCTGTCAGGAGTGATTTGAATGCAATATTCCTGCTTCTTGGCAGAATGGTGTTGGACTGGATGGCCCAGGAGGTCTCTTCCAACTCTTTGATTCTATGATTCTTCATGTGGTGTGTCAGAGGGCTTCTTCCTGACCTGGAGTGCCACAGATAGAACCAGAGAAATCCTAGGGGCGGAGCCAATTGCAGGCATACCTCTGTTAACTAAGTAGAGTTGTCCCTCCTCATTGGTGCATATGTCAGGAGTCAATTTCTGACGGCATGAAGACATCACAAATTCCCTCCGTGACATCCTGACTGAATCATCCTGGCTGCCTCAGTTTTCTCTCTGTGACATTTTGAAGCCAGCAGAAAGCACTGGAAACCTTGTATTGGAACTTGTGAAGCAACAAGCTCTAATAAGGAAACTGAGAAGAGGGGGAGTTGGGCAGGAAAGGTGTATAAAAGGAAGTGGTGGTGGGAAAAAGTCAGTAGTGTCTTTCTTTGCTGCAGAGATACAAGCAATATATTCATTTCCAAGCAAAACCGGCTTGTGAGTGATCATTTAATATTGCTATATAAAACCTACAGTCTTGCAGCATATAACTTTTGCAGACTTGGTTATCACGGCCTCTCTAGGTCCTCCAGCATAACTCTAAATTGTACTGGAGGATCATGAGGGTCGTAGAGAGAACAACTATCTAGGAATCTCTAGGTCATCCAGTACACCTTATAGTCAAGATTAGCCAGAAGAGATATAAGGAACAGGCTTGGGTAACCACGGAAAAATTTGGTTCTAAACTCGTTTTGTTTTTAGGGGGCCCTCGCGTTTCGTTTTTTTTAAGAATTCTGAAATTTTCCTTTAAAAAATTTCGAAATATACGAAATTTCGTAAAATTACGAATCGATTCGTTAATGGCGGCCGCGATTGCGCAATATGCTAAAAAAACCTCCAAATGGGACAGGGGGAACTTCTGAAGCTTCCCTCTCCCTCTGTTGTTGACTGTTGGTGTGATAAAACAAACAACTATATTATATTATTATTATATTATTATATTATATTGTTGTATATTATATTATAATATTATTATATTATTATATTATATATTATATATATTACATAATATTATTATAATATTATTATATTATATTATAATATATTATATATATTATATTATAATATACAATTATAATATAATATAATAATAATATATAATATATAATATAATAGTATTATAATAATATAATATAATATATAATATATATTATATTATTATAATATTATTATATATTATATTATATTATATTATATTATATTATATTATATTATATTATATTATATTATATTATATTATATTATATTCTAGCTGTACCTGGCAACGCATTCCTGTGGCATAGAGTGAGGGTATGAAAAATAAAGTAATGAGAAATTTTGGGCAAGAAGGATGCCAGGAGAAAGAGGAGGGAGGGGGGAATGTGGGATTTGCCAGCTGGAAGGAAGGAAGGAAAGAAGGAAGGAAAGAAGGAAAGAAGGAAGGAAAGAAGGAAGGAAGGAAGGAAAGAAGGAAGGAAGGAAGGAAAGAAGGAAGGAAGGAAGGAAGGAAGGAAGGAAGGAAGGAAAGAAGGAAGGAAGGAAAGGAAGGAAGGAAGGAAGGAAGGAAGGAAGGAAGGAAGGAAGGAAGGAAGGAAGGAAGGAAGGAAGGAAGGAAGGAAGGAAGGAAAGAAGGAAGGAGGAAGGCAGAGATGGAAGGAGATGGAAGGAAAGAAGGAAAGAAGGAAGGAGGAAGGCAGAGATGAAAGGAGAAGGAAGGAAGGAAAGAAGGAAAGGAGTCAGGCAAAGAAGGAAGGAGGGAAGGAGGAAGGCAGGAAGGAAAAAGAAAGAAGGAAGGAAGGAAGGAATGGAAGGAAAGAAGGAAGAAGAAGAAGGAAGGAAGGAAGGAAGGAGAGGAAGGAAGGAGAGAAGGAAGGAAGGAAGGAAGGAAAGAAGAAGAGGAAGGAAGGAAGGATGGAAGGAAGGAAGGAAGGAAAGAAGGAAGGAAGGAAGGAAGGAAGGAAGGAAGGAAGGAAGGAAGGAAGGAAGGAAGGAAGGAAGGAAGGTGCAGTCCAGAGTGAGGCAAGAAGAAGCATGAGGAAAGAGGAGGGAAGCAGCAGAGTAAAGGGACCGGAAGTGGGGTAAATGCGAGATTGTAAAACTTGCACCAGACATACGAAAATAATTACAAAACAATTACGAAATAATTACGAAAATTGGAAAAATGTTTCGATTCTTAATTACTCCTCACACTATTCCTGCATGGCTCGATATTGGATCGTAAAGCTAATTTAAATACGAATTAATAACGAATAACGAAATTAACAAACTGGATCACCCAAGCCTAATAAGGAACTATTTTTAAACAAGCAATGCATGGAAGTGGAAGAAGGCAACAGAATAGGAAGGACAAGAGACCTCTTCCAGAAAATTAGAAACATTGGAGGTGAAAATGGGTATGTTGAAGAGATCAAGAGAAGGTGGCAAGACTATACAGGAAACCTGTATAGGAAGGATAATAATATCAAGGATAGTTTGGACGGTGTGGTGAGTGAATTAGAACCAGATATCCTGAGGAGTGAGGTTGAGCCCCCAATGAACTATATGAGGATTTCCTCCCACTCCCCTGGGCCAGGTGGCCTCCCACGTACCTGGTGTGTTGCTGGAGGTGGGAGAGTTGGCGGAAGGACTTCTCGCAGTAGGAGCAGTGGTAGGGCTTGACGCCCAGGTGGATGCGCAGGTGCTGCGCCAGGTAGGAGGCGTTGGCGAAGGACTTGGAGCAATGCGGGCACTTGTGGGGCTTGGCCTCCGTGTGCGACTTGGAGTGGATCTGCATTTCGGACTTGGTGAAGAAGGTCAGCGGGCAGACTTTACACCTGAGGAAGGAGGAGGAGAAAGACAAAGCTCGGGCTATCAAACCAAAGTCTGCATTCCCCTCATCCACCCTCCTGGCCACCGCCAACTCCTGAGCCTCAAGCGTAAGTGATGAATCCAGGAGGACACCCAAACTGCGGACCTGTGATTTCAGGGGAAGTGTAACTCCGTCCAGCACAGGTTGCCACCCTATACCCCAATCCGGTTTACAATCGACCAAGAGAACCTCTGTCTTGTCGGGATTGATCTTCATCTTGTTCTTCCTCATCCAGACAGCCACAGCGGCCAGGCACTCGTCCAGCACCTCAGGTGTTTTCCTTGCAGTTAGGTGGAAAGGAGTAGTAGAGCTGCGTGTCATCTGCATAGAGGTGGCACCCAACTCCAAAACTCCAGATGACCTCTCCCAGCAGTTTCATGTAGATGTTAAAAAGCATGGGAGACAGAATAGAGCCTTGCGGGACCCCACAGGTCAAAGGCCAGGGGTCTGGGAAGGACTGGAGCCACGACAGAACCGTGCCCCTGAGACCCATCCCGGAGAGTCGTCCCAGAAGGATACCATGATCGATGGTATCGAAAGCCGCTGAGAGATCCAAGAGAACCAGTACGGTCACACTCCCCCTGTCCAGTTCCCTACGGAGGTCATCCACCAAGGCGACCCAAGCCGTCTTGGTGCTGTGGCCAGGTCTGAAGCCAGACTGGTCCAGGTAATTGATGTCGTCCAGAAAGCCCTGGAGCTAGGAGGCGACCACCTGCTCCAGCACCTTGGTGGTTCATGCTGCCCATCGGGCGCGATGGGCAGCGTGAGCCTGCCAAGGGTGGAGCAGCACCGTGCGGCCTACTCTCGTGTAAAGCACCTCGCGAGAGTAGGCCACGCGGGGCAGCCGCCCTTGGCTGGCTCACGCTGCCCATCAGGCCTGACGGATAGCGTGAGCCAGCCAAGGGAGGGGCACTGTGGGGGGGGGCTCCTCCTCTGTGGGCCGGATAAGTGCCCTTGGCGGGCCGGAAGTGGCCCGCGGGTCATAGTTTGAGGACCCCTGTTCTATACACATAATAAAAGTGTAAAATGTGTATGTGTATGCGGCGGAGGTGTCCACTTACACAGAAAGCCTCCCGCCTCCACAAAAATAATAATAAATAGAATGAAATAATATATGTAATAACAACAATAAAGTAACCTTAACCCACTAGGTACAAACAAACAGAATCAGAATTAAGAACAACAAAACAACACATCCACAAAACGACAAAACAACTGAGCATGCGCAATGGCGGCCAGCAGCAGCAAGGGAGCATCCACGGAGCATCCACGCAAGGAGGGGGGAGGGGAGGAGGAAGGTCCACAGTGCTTGAATGAAGGACCTTCTTCTCTCCCTCCCTTCCCTTCTTTCCTTCCTTCCTTTCTTTCCTTTTCTTCCTTCCTTTCCTTCTTTCCCTCCTTCCCTTCCTTCCTGTCCATCCTTCCTTTTCCTTCTTTTCCTTCCTCCCTCCCTTTCCTCCTTCTTTCCCTTGCTTCATTTCCTTCCCTCCCTCCTTTCTTCCCCTCCTTCCTTCCTCCTTCCTTCCTTCTCCTCCCTCCCTCCCTCCCTCCCTCCCCATTTCCTTCCTTCCTGTCCCTTCTTCCTTTCCTTCTTTACCTCCCTCCTTTTCCTCCTTTCCCTTTCTTCATTTCCTTCCCCTTCATTTCCTTCCCTCCCTCCTTTCTTCCCCTCCTTCCTTCCTCCTTCCTTCCTTCTCCTCCCTCCCTCCCCATTTCCTTCCTTCCTGTCCCTTCTTCCTTTCCTTCTTTACCTCCCTCCTTTTCCTCCTTTCCCTTTCTTCATTTCCTTCCCCTTCATTTCCTTCCCTCCCTCCTTCCTTCATCCCCCTCCTTTCTCTCTCTCCTTCCTTCCTCCCTTCCTGTCCCTCCTTTTTTTCCCTTCCTTCCCTTCTTTCCCTCCCTCCCTTCCTTTTCCTTCCTTCCTAACCCTCCTTCCTTCTTCATTTCCTTCTTTTCCTCCCTCCCTTTCCTCCTTCTTTCCCTTTCATTACCTTCCCCCTCATTTCCTTCCCTCCCTCCTTTCTTCCCCTCCTTCCTTCCTCCTTCCTTCCTTCTCCTCCCTCCCTCCCTCCCTCCCCATTTCCTTCCTTCCTGTCCCTTCTTCCTTTCCTTCTTTACCTCCCTCCTTTTCCTCCTTTCCCTTTCTTCATTTCCTTCCCCTTCATTTCCTTCCCTCCCTCCTTCCTTCATCCCCCTCCTTTCTCTCTCTCCTTCCTTCCTCCCTTCCTGTCCCTCCTTTTTTTCCCTTCCTTCCCTTCTTTCCCTCCCTCCCTTCCTTTTCCTTCCTTCCTAACCCTCCTTCCTTCTTCATTTCCTTCTTTTCCTCCCTCCCTTTCCTCCTTCTTTCCCTTTCATTACCTTCCCCCTCATTTCCTTCCCTCCCTCCTTTCTTCCCCTCCTTCCTTCCTCCTTCCTTCCTTCTTCCTCCCTCCCTCCCTCCCTCCCTCCCCATTTCCTTCCTTCCTGTCCCTTCTTCCTTTCCTTCTTTACCTCCCTCCTTTTCCTCCTTTCCCTTTCTTCATTTCCTTCCCCTTCATTTCCTTCCCTCCCTCCTTCCTTCATCCCCCTCCTTTCTCTCTCTCCTTCCTTCCTCCCTTCCTGTCCCTCCTTTTTTCCCTTCCTTCCCTTCTTTCCCTCCCTCCCTTCCTTTTCCTTCCTTCCTAACCCTCCTTCCTTCATTTCCTTCTTTTCCTCCCTCCCTTTCCTCCTTCTTTCCCTTTCATTACCTTCCCCCTCATTTCCTTCCCTCCCTCCTTTCTTCATCCCCTCCTTCCTGCCTCACTCCCTTCCTGCCTCTCCTTTCTTTTCCTTCCTTCCTGTCCCTCCTTCCTTCCTTCTTCCTTTCCTTCTTTCTAAGAGATAAATACAATATTAAATGGAAGGGACAGTCAAGAAGTAACAAGAGGAGGGAAAAAGGGAAGGAAGGAAGGAGAGAAGCAGGGAGGGAAAGAAAGAAAGAAAGAAAGAAAGAAAGAAAGAGAAGCAAGAAAGGAGAGAAGGAACAAAAGATAGGGAAGGAAGGATGTAACCAAAGAGCAAAAAAAGGGAGGAAAGAAACAGGTAGAGACGGAAGAAAGATAAGAGATAGGGAAAGAAAAAGAAGAAAGGAAGGAAAGGGAAAGAAGGAGAGAAAGAGGGAGGGAAGGTTGGCCACAGCAACGCGTGGCGGGTACAGCTAGTATACATATATAATATTATATATATTTATTATATATTTATTATTATTATTATGAGCCAAGGCTGAATCCATAGGAATATAGTGTCTGGGGAAGTCATTATTATTATTATTATTATTAATATATATATATATATATATATATATATATATATTAATATTATTATATATATTTATTGTATATTTATTATTATTATTATGATTCAAGGCTGAATCCATAGGAATATAGTGTCTGGGGAAGTCATTATTATTATTATTATTATTATTATTATTATTATTATTATTATTATTTCTCTCTCTCTCATTCTCTCTCTCTCTCTCTCTATATATATATATAATATTATTATATATATTTATTATATATTTATTATTATTATGTGCCAAGGCTGAATCCATAGGAATATAGTGTCTGGGGAAGTCATTATTATTATTATTATTATTATTATTATTATTATTATTATTATTATTATTCCGTTGTTAAGGATCTTAAAGTAACAAACAAAACTTTCAAAATTTCATTATTATTTCATTATCGATGATTTTTATGACCGAACCAATGAGGAACTGCCATTTATGATGAAATTTTTCAAGGTTTTGTTAGAGTTCTGAAATTTTGAATGTGTCCACCTGAGGCTAGGAGACCGGGACAGAATAGGGATGCTGCTGGTGTACCGACCACCCCGCTGCACCACAGCCACCCTACCTGAGCTTGCAGAGTTGGTCTCGGGCCTGGCATTGGAGTCCCAGCAGCTTATAGTGCTGGGGGACTTCAATGTCCACGCAGAGACCACCCTTTCAGGGGTGGCTCAGGACTTCATGGCCACCATGGCAACTATGGGGCTGTCACAACTGTATCTCGCCCTACCCACTGTGCTGGACACACACTTGACTTGGTTTTCTGTCAGAATTCTGAAATTTTTGCCACCAGAACTTTAGCAACACAGGAAAAGCAAAGCACCAGCACCCCCTAGTTTTTGCCACCAGAATTTTAGTTTTGTAAGTGGTTTAGAACCATTTAGAAGCATGTCTGGCTCTCCCCGGGTGGGTACCCAGCTCACCTGTAGGTCTTGCCCTCCTTGCCGATGTCGCCCGAGGCCAGTAGCGGGTAGGGCACCACCAGCACCGGCGGCCCGGAAGGGTTTTCGGCCTTGATCTTCTTGCGGCCCCGCTCGGCCTTGGGGGCGCCCCCCAGCAGGCTGTGGCCCTGGATGGTCTTGATGGACTCCAGGAGCGGGGGGCTGGCGATCCCTGAGATGAGGGTGGGAGACGAGGCAATGAGGCGGCTCTGCCCCGAGGAGGTGGGCGTCGAAGGGGTGCTGGTGCCCGTCCCGGCACTCGACTCCGAGGTGCTGACCACCGGCGCTCGCGACCCCAAGCCCAAGCCTGGGAGGAAGAAAAACACCGGTATCTCTTCTATATATATCTACTAGCTGTACCTGGCCATGCGTTGCTGTGGCATACTCTGTGGCAACCCTCTTCTACCCTCATGGTGGAAAAGCACAATCAAAGCACTTCTGACAGATGGTCAATCAGCCTCTGGTTGATAAGAGTAATAGAATGGTAGGTAGGAAGAGACCTCCAAGGGCCATCTAGTCCAGCCCCTTTTGGAAAATGGGAAAAGCACAATCTAACCACTCCTAAGAGATGGCCAGCCTCAAGTTGTATGGTAAGGAGTTTTGTTGCCAAATTTGGTGGGTATTGGCCCAGCGGTTCTTTTGTTTTTAAGCCACTCACGACGACATGAACATTTTTATATATGTAGATGTATATAACAAAAGTCAGTGTTTGTATGTGGAGCGAGGACAGGAGGTGTATGTGGCAGCTTTCTGATTGGTTGCCACTGTGGTACAATTTGCATATGGTCTCTGATTGGCCAGCCTGAAATTCCAAGAGTCTGAGGTGACAAAGAGAGAGGAAAAGGCCTGAGGCTGTGTCGGAAAATTACCACTACAGACCAAACTGGGCACACAAAGCCTGCAAGACCCTCTCTACATCCTACTGCAGTTTCATAGAATCATAGAATCATAGAATCTAAGAGTTGGAAGAGACCTCATGGGCCATCCAGTCCAACCCCATTCTGCCAAGAAGCAGGAATATTGCATTCAAATCACCCCCGACAGATGGCCATCCAGCCTCTGTTTAAAAGCTTCCAAAGAAGGAGCCTCCACCACACTCCGGGGCAGAGAGTTCCACTGCTGAACGGCTCTCACAGTCAGGAAGTTCTTCCTCATGTTCGGATGGAATCTCCTCTCTTGTAGTTTGAAGCCATTGTTCCGCGTCCTAGTCTCCAGGGAAGCAGAAAACAAGCTTGCTCCCTCCTCCCATCAGTTTGGAGGAAGGTGGACCATGGATGATGGGACATGCAGTACATTACTCATTTTCTGAGACCGCTGTGACCCTCATCCAATGACTGATCAAGACCAAACTTGGCACACAGAGCCCCCATGACCCATTCTACATCCTGGTGCAGTTTCAAGCAGGATGGACCATGGATGATGAGACTTGAAATACCTCCACTCACTTCCCAAGACTGCTGCAACCTGCATCTAACGACCGATCAAGACCAAAGTTGGCACATAGAGCCCCCCATGACCCACTCTACATCCTGGTGCTGCTTGGAGGAGGATGGACCATGGATGATGGGACTTGCAGTACCTTCACTAACTTCATGAGACCACTGCGAGTCATATAAATAACTGATAAAGACCAACCTTGATACACAATTTCTTTCTCAAATAACCCAGGCAGCGCCAGGTCCCCAAACTAGTAAAATAAAAGAAAGTGTTTGTATGTGGAGGGCGGGCATAGGTAGGGAGGTGTATGTGGCAGCTTTCTGATTGGCTGCCACTGTGGTACAATTTGCATAAGCCTCAAGATTCTAACATTATGAAGTGGCTCAGAGGGAAAAGGTAAGAGTCTAAGGTTTTCAGGAATGGTGGGAGTTGCAGTCCAAAACAATGGCCCCCAACAATGACAGAACAAGACCAAACTTGGCACACAGACCCCCCCCCCACCCCCCACCCACGACCCACTCAACATCCTGGTGCAGTTTGAGAGAATCGACCATGGATGATGGGACTTGCAGTACTTTAACTCACTACCTTAGAGCACTGTGGCCCACACCAATGACGGATCAGGATCAAACTTGGCACACAGAGGCCCAATGCCCCACTTTACAACCTGGTGTGGTTCAGGGCAGGATGGGCCACTAATGATGGGATTTGCAGTACCTTCACCCGATTCACTTCCCACAGAACACTACAGACCCTACAAATCACAGACCAGGTCCAAACTTGGCACACAGAGTACTCATGATCCACTCTACATAATAATAATAATAATAATAATAATAATAATAATTATTATTATTATTATTATTATTATTATTATTATTATTCACACCAGGAAACTATAGGCCGATAATGTGTCTGCCCACTATGTTTAAACTACTGACCAGCATCGCAACCTTTGCTTGTGAAACTCAGTGGTTGCTGTCACAGGACGTCCAACTCTTTCTTTGTCACGCAAGTCAGGTGTTTCCACCTCAATATCTTTAAACTTCCTCACCCAACGACGCATAGTATTCACATCAATTATTATTATTATTATTATTATTATTATTATTATTATTATTATTCACACCAGGAAACTATAGGCCGATAATGTGTCTGCCCACTATGTTTAAACTACTGACCAGCATCGCAACCTTTGCTTGTGAAACTCGGTGGTTGCTGTCACAGGACGTCCATCTCCCACAGTATTGTGGGAGTTGAAATCCAAAACACCTGGAGGGCCAAAGTTTGCTCTACGTCCAACTTTTGTAAGCGGGTCGTGCTGGAAGACTTCTGGAGGTGATTCTAGGCCCTCCAAGTGCAATTCTGGCATGGGTTGACCATAGACTCGCATTGGAGGACCTTGAGAGCATATATGTGAATCTGGAAGACGTTGACCACCAAGTTGGGTCGCAGCACCTCAGGAAACACCTCTAAGCGGCCAACCAAAGGGATACCAGGGTGTGCCCAGGCGGCGAGTGGCTGTCGTACCTGTAACGGTGCTTGTGGCGGGCCGGGCGTGGAGGGCCACGTCGGGCTGGGGGACAGCCTGGGGGTGCAGCCCGGGGACTTGCTGCAACTTGGGGATGGACATGATGGGCTGGCTGCTCTCAGCGGGCGAGGGGGCCACCAGGAGGGGGTTCTGCTGGGAAGAGACCGCGGCTGGGGGCAGGTGGGGCGGGCGGATCTTCTCCGCCATCAGCTGCTCCTTGATTTTGTTGATCAGAACCAGATTGTCCAGCTGCGGGCGAGAACGGGAAGAGATATATTAGGTAGCGTGAATCAGTTCTCATGTCCTTATGTGGTTACTCATCCACGAAGTGTCTCATTACGCATATGCAAATACAGTATGGGCCTATCGTCGCCTTGAACTGGAAGTCTTTCATTCGAATGGGGTTCGCTATTATCTATAGTTTCACTGATCCACGGCCAACTTGAGTCGCCTATGGGCTGAGAAGGGCGATATACAAATATAGTAAATAAAAAAAATATAGTAAGTAAATAAATAAATATAGTAAATAAATAAATATAGTGAATAAATACTGTATAGTAAGTAAATAAATAAATAAATTCGGGATAATAATGACATTTTAAGAGATTACCCCCCCCCCACCCTCGTCCAACCAGGTCTCTGTAATGCACGCCACGTCTGCTTTTTCATCAAGGATTAAATCCTGAATGGTTGATGTTTTACCGTCAACAGACCTGGCGTTCAGCAGCACCACCTTTAATCTGGGGGGACCGTCTACCTTGGTACTCAGATCCACCATGTCGGGAGAACATTTTGGAATTTTTCTCAGTTTTCTCACGAATTAGCCGAATTGGTTTATTAATTCTCCTTTTCCCGTATCTCCCCCTCCCCATCATTACCTCTATGGGGGCTCCCTGAGCAATCGCACCCAGCTTTGCCCGCCAGGTTAATCTCACCCAGCTTTACCCGCCAGGTTACTCTGTGCAGCTGGTGTACCGACCACCCCGCTGCACCACAGCCGCCCTACCTGAGCTAGCAGGGTTGGTCTCAGGCCTGGCACTGGCGTCCCAGCGGCTTATAGTGCTGGGGGACTTCAATGTCCATGCGGAGACCACCCTTTCAGGGGCGGCTCAGGACTTCATGGCCACCATGGCAACTGTGGGGCTGTACCACCTAGTATCTGGCCCTACCCACTGTGCTGGACACACACTTGACTTGGTTTTCTGTCAGAGTTCTGAAATTTTTACCACCAGAACTTTAGCAACACAGGAAAAGCAAAGCACCAGCACCCCCTAGTTTTCACCACCAGAACTTTAGTTTTGTAAGTACTTTAGAACCATGGATTGCCAATGCCTAGTAGGCATGGGCAAACGTTGGCCCTCCAGGTCTTCCAGCTTCAAGGTCTTTTAGCAGGATTAGGATAGAAGACAAAGTATGTCCTCTTTAAGGATTTTCTAGGTCTTCCAGCTGGACTATAGTAGTCTTAGGATAGAAGGCAAAGTATATCCTCTCTAAGGATTTTCTAGGTCCTCTAGTGTGGCTCTAAAGCAGTCTTGGGCGAGAAGTCCTCCATTTCAATAGAATTCACTAACATCCAGAGGTCTGTTTCCTCCAGGAATCTCAAAGTCATTTTGTGTGACTCTACGGTAGGCATGGGAAAACATTGGCTCTCCGGGTGTTTTTGGGCTTTAATTCCCACAATTTGGAACAGAATTGTGGGAGTTGAAGTCCAAAACACCTGGAGGGCCAAAGTTTGCCCATGCCTAGTACGCACTGGCAATCCATGGTTCTAAAGTACGTACAAAACTGAAGTTCTGGTGGTGAAAACTAGGGGGTGCTGGTGCATTGCTTTTCCTGTGTTGCTAAAGTTCTGGTGGTGAAAATTTCAGAACTCTTAACAAAACTTTCAAAACTTCATTATTATCCAGAGTTCTGCTTTTCCCGTGTTGCTAAATTTCTGGTGGTCTGGTGGTGAAAATTTCAGAACTCTAACAAAACTTTCAAAATTTCATTTTTATCCAGAGTTTTGCTTTTCCCTTGTTGCTAAATTTCTGGTGGTGAAAATTTCAGAACTCTAAAAGTTTTGCTTTTCCTGTGTTGCTAAATTTCTGGTGGTTAAAAATTCAGAACTCTAACAAAACTTTCAAAATTTCATTATTATCCAGAGTTTTGCTTTTCCCGTGTTGCTAAATTTCTGGTGGTGAACATTTCAGAACTCTAAAAGTTTTGCTTTTCCCGTGTTGCTAAATTTCTGGTGGTGAAAATTTCAGAACTCTAAAAGTTTTGCTTTTCCTGTGTTGCTAAATTTCTGGTGGTGAAAATTTCAGAACTCTAACAAAACTTTCAAAATTTCATTATTATTACCCAGAGTTTGGGGTATCTATCTGTATTCTAAATTCTGGGGGGGGGGGGGGAATTTGCAATGACTTCTCATCTCAACAAGCATTTTGGAACAGGGTTGCTCAAGCCATGCCAAGAATATGTCCTCACGCATTATCTTGCGTAGGTTTGTAGGGTTCACCTTGCTCAAGCACTCACCCGGAAGCCAACCGCAGCAATAAACAGTCTATTCAAAAGCACACACAGTAAATGAGTTTTAAAAAATCCAAATATGTAAGACAGAATTATTTATTTATTTATTCAAAGCATTTATATTCCGCCCTTCTCACCCCAAAGGGGACTCAGGGCAGAGCACAAAATATAAACGGCAAACATTAAATGCCGAAACATATTAGACCACACACATACAAAAGCATTAAAATCACATATCTCGCTGAACTATTTGAAGCAGTCTTCAAAGGCAACCCCACGTAGAGGGTGTTGCAGTAATCTAACCTAGATGTGATGAGAACATGGACCACCATGGCCAAGTTTGACTTCCCAAGGTACGGGCGCAACTGGCGCACAAGTTTGAATTGTGCAAAAGCCTCCCTAGCCACCGCTGCAACCTGAGATTCCAGGCTCAGCGAGGACCCCCAAGCTGCGAACCTGTGCCTTCAAGGGGAGTGTCACCCCATTCAGCACAGGCTGTACCCCAAAAGTCAGAGATAGATCTCCAATGCAAAGGTTTAAAGCATGAATATTAATCCAAGGTGCAGGGTACAATCATGACCTTGATTAATCTGGAAGACAAGGAATGAAACAGCAACTTGAGTAGTCCAAGAGACAAAGAACAAAACATGAGCTTGAGCCCATGGTAAAATCCCCAAGACTTAAAGCAAAACTTGACCAGGACATGGCTTGAAACGAGGACCGAGGCAGGAGCTTCTTGCTCTATTTGCACCCCCAAACCCCTCATCATCACCCTCAGCTGAAGCATCAGGCTCTGCAAGCCCTGCACCCCCAAATCCTTCATCATCATCCTCAGCTGAAGCATCAGGCCCTGAAAGCCCCACACCCCCAAACCCCTTTTCATCATCCTCAGCTGAAGTATCAGGCCCTGCAGGTCCTGCACCCCCAAACCCCTCATCATCCTCTTCAGTTGAAGCATCAGGCACAAAGATCGCTTGCTTACCTGGCTGGGCATAGTGGGAGGGGGTGGCCAGAAATAGGGGTTGTTAAAGCGCGGTTCCGCCATCCTGAGGAGGAAAGAGAAAGGAAAAAGGGGATATGGTTATGGGTCCGAATGGGTGTGTTTGGAAACCTTTGGCCCCGTCGGGACGCAGGTTTTCCTCCTCCTCGGCTGTCCAAAATCCCAAGGAAGGAGGGAGAAAAATACGGACAAAACAAATCCAACCCCAAAGTAAAATTAATCAACAAATACTATGCTAATCTGATAATTGGCAAGCAAAAGAGAGAGAAACCAGGAAACAAAATAGCAAATGTAGAAGAGACACAATGATGAGCACTTAATGGTTTCAGGCAAGCACACATTGAATCGAATTGAATGTATGGATGGATCCATGCAAAGCATGCCCGAAATTGAGCTTCTCGTAACGGCGACATTTAATTTGACTTTGGTTACATCATATAAATGCATATTTTTATTAACTTTATTTAGACCCCGCCTTTCTCCTTGCGGGGATTCGAGGAATAATAATAATAATAACTTTAAAAATATATTATAATTATATATATTTATATTACATGTAATATTACTAATAATCTATATATATAAAAAGCTTCAGGGCGTCCTTAGGCGTTCAAAAACGGAGAAACCGCCAGAAGAAATCTCACCAAATTTGGCCTGCTAATACCTCTTCCCCCAAGGTATGACCAACAACCCTCAAAACACCAATACGCAACAAAACAAACGCACAATACCCTAAAAACACGGAGCATGCGCAGAGGCCTCAGGAGGAATACGATGAAGGGGAAGGATTCCATTTCCCAGCTTCCCCCGCGCCCAAGTCACCCTCTGGAAGGAAGCAGGGGAGCGGAGGGATGATTTATTGTTGCCACCAATTTGAAAGGAACCAGTATTCAGGAGATTTTACCCCAGTTCCCTATTTTAAAAAGAACTAGCCGATTTGAAATGGAGGTTGCCGATTAGGAACCAAATTTACCACCAAGTTAGAAGGGAGGCTGTTCAATTGCACCTCCTCCTTTATTAAGAAACTAATAACTTAGGAGTAATTACACTGTATATACTGTAGTGTGACTGGAGAGAAGAATGTAGATTTATTTGGTTACTTTTCTCTGTGTTTCTGCCACCATGTGAGGTAAGTTGTAATATGGTGAGAAATGGCACTTTGGACACAGAATAGACGGAGCTGAGGCAATCTTCAAATAAAAGTTAACAATTTTATTAAGTACACAGTGTGTGGTTGCAAGACGTAACTTTTCCTTGTTGCACTTGGAATAATACTTGTAACTTTAACAGTTCATTCTTTCAAGTAACACAGTATCTTTCTGACGTAGAGCACTTGTTTCAGACAAAGTTTCCATACAGGGATGTTTCCCTTAGTTGATCCTCCCAATATCAAATACTAAGTAAACTATTCTTTAGCCTCTCCTTAGATAAGAGCCGCCGCAAACTCTGTTCCTGCGGGAGCAAACCTTGCTAGCACGTCCCTGACGTCATGAGCCTGCGCCTCTCGCCCCGCCCCTTTCTCCGCCCCTTTCTCTTTGCCAGCGTGGTTTTTCCTTTGCTAGGGCAGCATTGCCCGCATTTTCTCTCAGTTGAATTCTGCCAACTGAGAGAAAATGCGGGCAATGCTGCCCTAGCAAAGGAAAAACCACGCTGGCAAAGAGAAAGGGGCAGAGAAAGGGGCGGGGAGAGAGGCGCAGGCTCATGACGTCAGGGACGTGCTAGCAAGGTTTGCTCCCGCAGGAACAGAGTTTGCGACGGCTCTTAAAGAATACCAGCTATGTTTCACCATTCGGCTGCACTAGCCTGAGAAACTTCCAATAGCCAAACCCAGCTTTTCAAAGCCTCAAAGCTTTGCTTCACAAGTCACTCCGCCACCTTTCCTTTCCTTCTCTCTCAACTCCTAACTCCTCACTCCTCTGAACCTAAACCCTAACTCCTCTGAACCTAAACCCGGACTGCTCACTCCTCTAAACCTAAACCCTAACTGATTTTTAACTGTCGTTTTTTCAAACTCTCCCCTCTAAGCTCCTCCCACTTCCCTCTCTCCTGCATCGGTCTCCATGGCAACGCACATGGAGGACTCCTCTGACTTAGGCCGCTCCAGCATTACGGCAGCCAATCTAAACACAAATACAGTTAAAATCATACAATTTATAATCAACTCCTGTACAACCATCATCCTTAAGCCCAGCAGGAATCCCGCTACCCCATCGGTCCCGCCGCTGCCTCAGATACACAGACGGAAGAAGACCAGGAGAGATTGCGAGCCCAGCCTGAAAAAGCCCACCAGCCCGATGTAAGCACTAACGGCCGGGGAGGGCATGGAAGCTGCGGGGGGCCGCCAAGGGCAACAAAAACAGCACGAGACGGGAGGCCCGCCATCTTCTCCTAAGCGGGGGCCTCGATTTCTCCCGCGGCCTGTCACCCCTCTTGTCTTTGGCGGCCTCTAAACCTGCCCGGTGGAAGGTGGATCTCTCCCAACTGCTTCTCCTGCCCGCTGCTTCTTCTTCTTATTATTATTATTATTATTATTACTTTATTTGTACCCCGCTAGCATCTCCCAAGGGATTCGATGCGGCTTACACAGGCCGAAGCCCCAAAAACACAATACAACAATACAATACCCAAGCAAATTAAAAACAGTTAAAGCAATATTACACAACAAGCAATAACAATACAACAAGACACTATAAAACTGGGCCGGCGAGTAGGGGTACAGGATTAAAAGTGCTGATGTGGCGGGAGGAATGTAGGATTATAATAAGTGCGGTGTGCAGTGTGCAGTGATCTTGGTTCTACTAAAGTGCTTCTAGGATTGGTGCTGGAGGTTCCTAATCTGAAAGGACATCGGAACAGCCAGGTTTTCAATTCTTTCTGAAGACTGCCAATGTAGGGGCCTGTCTGAGATCTTTGGGAGGGTGTTCCAAGTCGGGGGGCCACCACAGAAAGGCCCTGTCTCGCGTCCCCACCAAATGCGCCTGTGCGACGCAGGAGGGATCACGAGCAGGGCCTCTCCAGATGACCGGAGTGAGCGTGTGGGTTCGTAGACGGAGATGCGGTCACGCAGGTAGGGTGGTCCCAAACCGTTCAGGGCTTTGTAGGTAGCACCTGCACCTTAAATTGGGCTCGGAAAATAAACGGCAGCCAGTGGAGCTCCTTAAACAGGAGGGTTGACCTCTCTCTGTAATGAGCCCCGGTTAACATCCTGGCTGCTGCCCGTTGGACCAGTTGGAGCTTCCAAGCCGTCTTCAAGGGCAGCCCCACATAGAGCGCATTGCAGTAATCCAATCTAGAGGTGACCAAGGCATGGACCACCCCGGCCAGATCAACCTTCGCGAGGTACGGTCGCAGCTGGCGCACAAGTCTCAGTTGTGCAAAAGCCCTCCCGGCCACCGCCGACGCCTGAGCCTCAAGCGTAAGCGATGAATCCAAGAGGACTCCCAAACTGCGGACCTGTGGCTTCAGGGGGAGTGTAACCCCGTCCAGCACAGGTTGCCACCCTATACCCCGATCAGGTTTACGATCGACCAGGAGGACCTCTGTCTTGTCGGGATTGATCTTCAGCTTGTTCCTCCTCATCCAGATAGACACAGCGGCCAGGCACTCGTCCAGCACCCGAGGGGCTTCCTTGGAATTAGATGGAAAAGAGTAGTAGAGTTGTGTGTCATCTGCATAGAGATGGCACCCAACTCCAAAACTCTGGATGACCTCTCCCAGCGGTTTCATGTAGATGTTAAAGAGCATGGGAGACAGAATGGAGCCTTGCGGGACCCCACAGGTCAAAGGCCAGGGGTCCGAGCAGGCGTCTCCCAGCTTCACCAACTGGGATTGACCCTCCAGGAAGGACCGGAGCCACGACAGAACCGTGCCCCCGAGACCCATCCCAGAGAGTCGTCCCAGAAGGATACCATGATCGATGGTATCGAAAGCAATGTACTCCTCATTTCTGGGATTTACGGATTTGAACCACACTTGCCACACTGAACTCCCATGACCAAGAGATAATACTGGAAGGGTTTGGCGGGCATTGACCTTTCGTTTCGGAATTGTAGTACACCTACATCCAGAGAGCACCGTGGACTCGAGCAATGATGGATCTGGACCACACTTGGCACGAATATGCAAACAGATGGACTTTGGGGAAAATACACCTTAACATTTGGGAGTTGTAGTCGCTGGGATTCACTGTTCACCTACAATCAAACAGCATTCTGAACCCCACAAACGACAGAAATGGGGCAAACTTCCCACACAGAACCCTATGACCAACAGAAAATACTTAAGGCCATCCAGTCTCAACTCCCTTCACCAGGGCAAGAAAACGCAATCAAAGCCCTCCTGACAAAGAGCCATCCAGCCATAGATATAGGATAGATGCTAGGCTTGGGTAACAACGGAAAAATTTGTTTCTAAACTCGTTTCGTTTTTAGGGGTCCATCGCGTTTCGTTTTTTTTTAATAATTCCGAAATTTTCCTCGCATGTTGAGGATTCCACTTTGTGGCCCCATTGCTTAAGATTGGCTCTGCATCTCGTGGTGCCAGAGCGCAGTCTGTTCAGCGCCTTCCAAGTCGCCCAGTCTTCTGTGTGCCCAGGGGGGAGTCTCTCATCTGGTATCACCCATGGATTGAGGTGCTGGGTTTGGGCCTGCCCCTTTTGGACTCTCGCTTGCTGGGGTGTTCCAGCGAGTGTCTCTGTAGATCTAAGAAAACTATGTCTTGATTTAAGTCGTTGACGTGCTGGCTGATACCCAAACAAGGGATGGCCCAGACATGTCACTGCCTTGGTCCTTTCATTATTGGCTCCTACTTCCCGGCGGATGTCATGTGGTGCAGTATCGGCTAACAGTGTAATTTCTCCAGTGGTGTTGGCTGTAGACATCCTGTGATAATGCGGCATGTCTCATTAAGAGCCACATCCACTGTTTTAGTGTGGTGAGATGTGTTCCACACTGGGCATGCATACTCAGCAGCAGAGTAGCATAGCGCAAGAGCAGATGTCTTCACTGTGTCTGGTTGTGATCCCCAGGTTGTGCCAGTCAGCTTTCG